ATTGTCAAAAAGGGCAAATCAGTGGATGAGAAACAGCTGAAGCAGAGATGGAAATGTAATGTTGCCCCATTTTATTATAATTAGATATTTATAGAGCACAGATGAGTTTATTTTCATAATTAGTAGCTGGCAATGCATTTAGTGATTTGCATAAACAGTTGGCTACCAAGGCAGTAACTTATTTGCAGGGCCCTTGAGTCCTAGCAGGACAAGAGGGGAGCTCAGCTCCTCAAATCAGCTTCCTTAATGTTATTACCAGCAAAATACAGTCTATATGAAATCATGTTCATGTTCATGTAGCTTGATTATCTCCTTCTAGTTTGGCCAGTGTTAATTAGTTTGGCATTAGAAGGCCAATGATCAAATCTACATACGAAAAACACACACAAGTAAGTCTGAAGTGGCCTCTAAAATCTAAGGGCCTGGAATAGATGTCTGGGTCATCTAGTCCAGTAAGATTTCTGTAGAGACAAAGAGAAAGGAATTAAGTGTCCCCAACTACCCTTATGATTTAAAATCTTATCTTAAAGATGTTAGTTAACCTCTTAATCCTGGTACATCTCCACATTCTTCACACCCTCACACATGTGCTCACACCACTCAACACAACAAACTTTCCCAGTACATCGATTGAGCTCTCTGACAGTAGCATCAGGAGAAAGGATTCCTGAAACTGAGACTGATATAGGCAAAGAGAAAAGCTAAGCATGTTTCAGGGTCTCCCTTCCACTATCAACATCCAGCAGGAAATCTTGGAGAAATATTTTCCTCCACCTTCCTTCTCAAGGCAAAGATCAAAAACATGGCTCATGGGCTAGCTCATTTGGAAGGCATTATGCATATTTGCCTGTGTGCTCATGTTTACCCACAGGAAGAGAATGAAATTAGGAGCTGACATGTTTTGTAAAACACACTTGCAGTCTATCTTGAAGCCCTAGTGACACTTAGCCATCAGCTCCCCAGGACGGAGCAGAGTGCTTGATTTGTGTACTCGTTTGCCACAGTCTACCTACTTTTCCCTTCCTGTCCCTGGACCTCATTTATGATATCTATCAGGTCTCTGTTGGTGTTTGAGTCTGCAACTCCTGCTCCATGTTCAATTTCAAGGGAAAGTATTTGATCACCTGCTTCAGAATACGCAACACAGAAATGGACAAGAGGAAGGAATCCAAAAACACTCTCAGCCCTTAAATAGAAGCTGTCATAGTCGAATCTAAAAGCTGGCAAATCCTGGATTCTGATAAGCCCTGTGGTCAGCCACCTCTAGATAAAGCTGTGCTTGTGGCCACCTGTTGCCCAGTGGCCTCCTGAATGGAGATGCTACCATGCCTGAACCTCCTACTCAGTTCTGTAGATTTAACCTTACATTCCTTCCTACTGTGGGCTAACTGTTTTGTCACTGGGCTTTTAAAAAATGACAAGATCTGAGGCATATCTATTCTTTTCTCTGACAACTACCTAAAAATAAATCCAAGGCCTTCCCTAGTTTTAGTCTAGTGTAATATGTAACTATTTCCTTCTGATACATGCACACCTAGAGCCAAAAGAAGGTGCAGTAGAGGAGGGCACTGGAGCCAGAATGCCTGGTCTCACCATATGATCCTCAGGGTTCCAATGTTCAATGGGTTAGGGTAAGATATCAATAAGGGGTACAAGTTAATGAGGGTGACCCCATTAACAGCATCACATTCAAAACATCAAATTTACCCATTCCCCACCCCCGCCATATCACAACCAATCATCTGATTCAGTTAAACATTACTTAGTTCTGTGAGCAGTCATCACATAGACCAAGTACTGACTTCATGCAACATGACAGCAATGGCCAAGATACAGACTCTAATCTTGTTTGGGAGGTGATGACTCAAACATGGGTACATCTCAGGCAAGGCAGTTTGGTATATGTAAACCTCAAAGGATATTAACAGGGATAGGGGTATCTAAAGGCATTCAGGAAAGAGGACAGAGCTTGAAGAAAAATCCACATGCAGGGAAAAGCAATGTGGAGTGACACAGGGCACGCTGGAGGCTTTAGAAGGCTGGAGGGTTGGCAGGGGTTACAGTGGGGGGCAGATTATAGGGGTAACAGTGGGCGGTAGGTGACAGTATGTAAAACATAAGACACAATAAAAATCCACTAAAACCTTTTAAGCAGATGGGCTACATGATACATTTAATTTGAATTTGGCTTTAGTTCCATTTTTAGGGAAATGATTAACTGAGGGATAAGAAGGATTAGAGACTTAGAGTAACTTTCACATGTAGCACATGAGAATAGAGACATCTGCACATTAACAAATGAAAATGTTTGTCTTCAGCAGCCCTTCAATCTAGTAGAAAGGAGTGACTTGATTCTCAAATAAATTTTAAATAAGTTGCTATAAAGATGCACGGAGGGAGAGCTCAACTGCATGGAACACTCAAGACAGCATCAAGCAGGAAAGAAATTCTAGGTACAATTTTAGTGGGTAGAAAAAAAAAAGGGGGAAGGAAGGACTGTTAAATGGGAGAGAAAGAGAGCTAGAAAAGCAAGGAGAGAACGTCCAACAAGGTGATTTGGCGGCCTGTTTGGCTGAAGCAGTAATTTTGCATCTATACCCAGGGGAAAATGTTAAATTAGAAAAACAGGGTCACACTGGAAACAGCTTTGAAAGCGAGGTGGCCAATCTTGTATCCCATGTGGTAGAAAACAGAGTTGAGACAGTTCTCAATTTGCGGGCAGACTAGAAAAGAATAGCATCCAGGAGACAAACTGGAATAGGATAATGATCTAATAAGTGCTCACCAGGAGCTGATCCTGGATACAGACAGAGATGCAAAGGACATTCCAGAGCAGAATTACTGAAAACTCTCTCCACTGACTGCCCTGGAGGAGAACCACTCAGGAAGGAAGAGATAGAAAGTAGTTTCTATTGGTCAAGCCTGAGTGGTGAGGAGGGTGGGACATCTAAAAAGGAAACTGATTTCTAGACAAATGACACTAACGCTGACTTTGGACATATTGAGGTGACAGTACTAGGTGACATTTATATGGATATGTGTTACAGCAAATGTAAGGTGGCAGACTGGAACTTAAGACAGATCCGTGACTAAGAGACAGCCAGGAAGTAACACGGAGGTCATTCTTGTATCCAAGACAGAGCTTAGAGTACTGGGGGCTTAGATTCTAGGTTTGATTCTCACTTAGAAGTCACCTAACTTCCTAACTTGTCTCTCTGGGTCTTGTTATACATACCCACTAAACAAGGATAATTCTACCACATACCTGTAGGAAAGTTGTGAATATTAAGAATGAGGCCCACATAGCTCAGTGGCTGGCACAGGGGCACTCCCTAAGTGTTCACAGCTGCTAGTCATGATGGCAGCAATGCCCCAGAAAAAGAAAGATAGCATGTACAAAAACCCAAAACACTCCCAAGACCCATTTCAAGGGATGTTGTAGGGGGATGGGGGAAAAGGAGAAGAGATAAGAGGCATGAGGAAGAGGAGAGAAGAGGAAGGAAGGGGTGCACTGGCTCTAATGCACTGTATAAGCCAACAAGACAGAAGGACAAGTTGTAGCGCTACATGTTTCCAACAGCCTGAGTCATAGGTAGATGGGCGCCTTCACTTATCAAGAGGTCTCTGGCAGCTTTCCAGTGGCAGAAGAGAGGTGAAGAGGTGCCCCTCCAAGCATATTCCTCTTCCCTTTCCTCTCCTTCTCTACCTACCTCTTCTCAAAAGGTACCGATACAGCAATGCGGTGAGGGTTTCAGATGCAGATTTCTGAGAATGAACCCGCCTGGGATCAGCATCAAAGGAGCAGGCAATGGAGCAAACACAAAGTAGAAACAGTGAGCTGCTTCCAAGGTGGCTATACATCATGTTATAAAAGTTCAGAGAAGCACAGACTTAAATAAGAGATGACCAGTTCACTGGCTAATCCTCAAGTGTGCATTTTGAATCATTTGTCAGCCCCTTCCTTCCTCCATAGCCCCACACCAGAATTCACCCTCTCTACTTGTGTTATCTGGCAATTTTTGGAGGCAACAGCAGTGCACAGGTTCACCAAGACACCAAGACAGGGGCTGGAGAGTTAGGGAGAAGGAAGGGAGAATTGGATGCAGATACATATTTATAATTTATCAATTAACTTCCCCTTTACTCTGCACAGCTAACCCAATTTGAGCAGGTGAGCCAGGTTCTCTGGGCTGGTGTCTCTGACAGCTTTGATTAGGAATGGATCAGTGATCTGTGCTACCCAAAGTTGTGAGGCACCACAAGGCACAGCAGAGCATTGTAAGCCCACCTGCTTGGTACCTCTCCTCCCTGACCACCTGGCAAAAGGCTGGCTTTATACATTAAGATCCCACGTTTTCTCTTTCTCCTCTTCCTCCCACCAGTATAATGTTTTTATTTCTATATTGTTCTACGCATGCCTAGCCCCATCCATCAAAACATTCCAACTCCCACACATACACGATTACAACACCGAAGAAAAAGGAGCAATAAATAAACACCCCCAAATTCCACATAAGTAACATTTTAAGCAGTTCTTCAGCCCTCTCCCTTCTCTTCCACTGCCCTCCTGCTATTGATGTTACCCCCCCCAAGCTCAGTTATTCGTAAATAACAGAAGGCACAGTACACCCGTTCCCACCTCACCTGTGCCTATACATAGATCACTAAAAGGGATCCTAGAACACCCTGCAATGGAGAAAAAAACAGCTCTGTAATGCCTCCCTCTTCCAGAGCACCCTGTTCCTACTAGACAGAGTTTGACACCATGCATAAGGTTCAACCTTGCTTTATAAGCAGGCAGGCCAACTCAGAACCATCCACAACACTGAACACAAAGTGTATTGAATAAAGGGGTAACAATGGCTTTTTGTTTTTCAGGTGTCGTTAAAAACAGTAAGCTACAGTATATCCTGTATTCATCAGAATACACAATTCCCCTCGTATACATGAATAATTCAGAAGGCAGATTGAGAGAATAATAAAAATAAAGTGATCTCTACCTTTACCTCTACCTACAGAAAGGAAGCAGAAGATCCAGTTAAGTAGAGGAAGAAGCATGGTGTCCACCATGGAGGAGGCAAGAGAAAGCGAGAGAAAGAGAGTGGACATCAGGACATGGCAGGCACACAGAGGTGTAACACACATAACAAATCTCAAGACCAACAGCAAAGGAAGTTGCCCTGCATCAGCCTGAGAAGGCAGCACAAAGCAGACACATGGTGGGAGGCTTAAGGAGTAAACACCAGGGCAGCAGGCTTCCATTAGCTTCATGTTTAAGCTTTGCCCCATTCATTTCTTCCCAGTTCTGTCCTTAGATACAGAGCAGAGTCCACATGCAAAAGCACTGCACAGCCACATGGATGTAAAGTTGCATACATGTAATGGATCTTAAACAAAATGGTTAAGGAAAGCCTTTAAAAAACTAGGTTCTCTTATATTTTCCCAACGTTCGTGTGAGTCATGAGGATCAAGAGTATAACAAACGTGTATAAGGGATGTACATGTAACATACATAAACACCACATGTATTTGTGGACATCAAATACAAATTCTGGAGATTCAGTGGAAACCAGACAGAAGCCCCTATCTCCCATGTGCAGGAATTAACAAAAGGTGTGGAGGGCTGGGAGAGGCATACTGGGTTTTCAGGTAGTCTATCATAAGGGTAGCAATGAATGAGGAAGGGATACAATGGAACGAGAGGAAGAGGAATGAAGTCAAAGGGGTTCCTTAAATCAGATTAAGCCTCAAGTAGCAACTTAAAAATCTTAGTGGCCCAAGAAGAATTCTTCATCTTTTCTTGAAACCCTCTGTAAGGAGGAATTCATAGCATCTGTATTTGCATGATTTTTTTTTTCTCTAGAAGGAACCTGAGTTACTACCCTGGAGCACGGCTGTGTTTGAATGTTTCACAAATATGAACGGGGCTATAGTTGTATACCACAGGTTCTCCAAATGCTGTTCATACCAGTGTTGGGATTCAGCCTTCCTGTGGTCCATTAGTGTATCTGAAAGCTATGTCAAGATCAAGGTGGCCCCCATCGACCCACTGATCTGCCACACTCCTCCCTGTGACATTAGCTATGGGATGTGTGTAGTACTCCAATCCACTGGAAACTCTGGGAGCACCCTTGAAGGGCAACTGGGAGCATCAAAGGAGGACATGTCAAAGGAGGACTCTGAGAATGGGCTTTTCTGGTGTCACTTGTCACCAAGGTTGATCCACCAAATTCTAGCAATTCATAGAACACTGATCCTCTTTCTTCAGAGAAAAGCTTAAGTCTGTCAAACTGGCCAAATCATAGGTCCAAATCAAGTCTAACCATGGCTTATATTCACTTCCTAGAACTTGCTGGGGGCACTTGCTCCCTTCACTCACCTACAGGAACAGCCAGCCTTCATCCCAGCCTCTTCTAGAACCTTACTTAACACTGCAGAACTCACCTGACCCTCTTCCTTCCTTCGGCTATGTTTTGTATCTGCTCTCTACCAAACCATCTCTGTCTTGAAATTTATGAATTCCACATCATGGACTTTGGCTCATGCTGTAGAATACACTTATATTAGAAAACCCAGGCTTCCTCCTTACCCTGATTTATCAATTCAGGATGTCCTCAGCTGCCCACCTCCAGCTGCTAAACGATGTCTTTTAGGCCTGGGTGGTTAGAAAGTGGTCTGATGCTATCTTCCTCACAGCCAAACCACCTGATAAACTGATGTAAAGGAGCAAGGGAAAGGAAGTGGCCATCGAGGCTGCTACTGTGCCCTCTCCAAAAGACCACAAAAAATACTATTTGGAACTCTTCCTCCTCCTCCTCCTTTCCTCTGATCTTCCCAAAGAAGCACTGAGTCTGATATGTATTTTGAAAGAAATAGACAAGAAAAATTAAAGAACAGTCTTTTGGCGACAGGGCAAAGCAGGTAGACCAATCTTGCAATCACCCCAAGGCTTGGACGAAACACAATAGTAGCAATTGAGTGATAAAGGGAACGACAATTTTAAGTGGGTTCAGTTCTCAGATCTTGATTTGGGCTGATAATGTGGAAATTTTTTATTTAGGAGAAAAAGGCTTCATTCACAGCCCACCCCATGCTTAGCTGAGCTGAATTTCCTGCACGGTTCATTCCTTGCATATTTGAATATTTTAGGTTGCAGATGCTGAATTTACAGATCTTTATATGCAGCCTTCTTCAGGGTGTATAATGAGTTAGAATCCTGCCATGAGGACATTAGCATGTTCTTTCGGTGAATTTTTTTTATATAAAACTGAAAACAGTCAAACCCCAAAGGGCTTCCTTTGACCAGGAAGGGCAGAGTGTCATTAAGATGGGCAATGGAATGGAGGGGAGGGCACACAGCAAACCTTTACCCAGAATGAAGTTCAGGGAGAAACCCAGCTCCTTGCTCCCAAGCTAGGGCCCAGCCTATGGCCTGGGGAGGCGCAGGAGGAAGTTAACCGCCTGGTTGCTCTGAAATTAGTTTCATTCACCCCCATTATTGAGGCGTCATGCCTTGTTTCATGCTTTCCTCTTAGAGGCAGCCCAGCAGGGCCAGCGTCCGGATGACAAATGGTGGCAGAGAATGGAGAAGCTGGGAGGAGGGGGTGGGACACCACAATGCATCAGGAAAGGTGCCCCCCACAGCAGGGTGCTCCTGCTGCCAGTCTGGCCCACAGCAGGAGGAACAGGCAGCAAATGGCCTTCCAGCCAGGAGGCTCTGGAGTGACCAGCCAGAGGCACAGAGGCAGGCAGTTCAGGCATCTGCAGGACCACAGCACAAAGCACCTACCTTGTTCACTCATCATGAGGTGAGAGAGGCCTGAGGAAGGAGAGGGGGAGAGAGAGGAGGGAGGGGAAAGAAAAAAAGAGAGAAGACAGTTAAAATCCCCAATGCCAAGCAACTTTCTCTTAAATATTATATAGGAGGGGGTGTGAGGAGGACACATGCACAGACTTGGTGGCATGAAAAACAGCCTAAACCCTGCTGTGAGAGAGAAGGTTCTCAGTCTAAAAAAGGGGCTTTCGTTTGCTGAATCATACCAAGAACTTTCCTTTGACCTTTGTTCTATGCAATCCATAAGATTTGTGATGGATCTACTAAGATTAGATCTTCAGGAAAGAGATTCAAGTTATCAGGTAAAGGTTTCTTTCTTTCAAGTTACTTAAAACAGTAATACATGTTCACTGCAGAAACATGGGAAAATTCAGAGGAAAAAGAAAAAATCAGTTATAATCTCACCATCCAAACAATACTATTCATTTTTCTATGAATTGTATTGGTTTTTTTTTTTCATAAACTGTGTCATACTGAACAGACCAGATGACTTCCTACTTGCAAGAATTGCTCAAACTACCTAAAACCATTTCTCTGTTCATGCCTTAACCAGTGATAACCATACCCATTGCTCCAGCTCTTCTCCTTTCCCAGAAAGCCTTCCATTTTCCATCAGGGAGGCCTACCCTGCACTGAATGGGTAAAAGAAGCCATGCAGAGCCCCGATAAACACCTAATAGAACCTCTGGGGTGTCCTTATGGAAGGTAAGCAAGGCTCTTTAAGGCTCCTCACTACAAGAAAAACATAACCGCTGAGAAGTCTAACAGAAAAATTTCCAACCAGTAGCCAACTGCACTTGCTTGCCCTCATACTATTTCTATTATTACTAAAGATACTTTACACAATCCAGATCACCCCTAAGAACCTTTACTTGAAACAAAACTCAGGGATATAGAGGATTAATAAAGGAGAATAAAAACCTCTAAAGTATGAAAATCTCTAAATGTTTTTGGAGATTACTAGAGATTTAGAAAAGTAATCAGAGACTAAATATAGGTCAAGAAACAGACTTTTAAAAGATCAGTGATATATTAAATACATAGATACATGTGCCATAAATGTCATGGAGTCTATTTTTTAAACAAATTTCATTAAACTATAATCATATTTTAGAAGCTCAGATCCTGGCATTCACTGCTCTAGGATAAGGATTAATGCTCATGGAAGAATGCAATCATGACGAAACAACCTACTCTCTTCACTTTTGTCCAAAAAGAAATTGTTTTATTTTTATTTTTTTAACTTTTACAAAACTTTTATTGAGAATTTCATACATGCATATAAGATGTTTTGATCAAATCCATGCCCACTCCCTCCCTGCCCACATTCCTGCCTCTGAAGAGGTAACCCTAAATTATTTTAAGGATTAGCTACAATTTTTTGGTCTGTCTCAGGGCAGAGGAATAGAGTAAGAGACGAGGAAAGATCTTATATTTGTATAAGAGAAACTTACACAGAAACAACCATTCCTATAATGACCAGTACTTCTGGGCCAAATCGTAGCCATCAACATCACAGTCAAGACCACAAGGAGGAGGTGGCAGAGTCTTAGAAAGGGGGATGACAGAAACAGAGGAGACATAAATCCAGTGGGCAACCATTCAGAATGCCTTGTTGGCTCTAAGAAACAGCAAGATGATCTGAAAAGCTATCTCAGATTAAAGATGTTTGCAGTAAGCCGAGTGTGGTGGCACACTCCTTTAATCCCAGCACTTGGGAGGAAGAGGCAAGTGGATCTCTGTGAGTTGAGGCCAGCCTAGTCTACATAGCAAGTTCCAGCCTATCCTGGAACAAAAAATGTGCATTTTTGTCTCAAAAAATGTATATATTTGCAGGAATAGAAAAGAGATGTTAGACTCTGCTTGTTCACAGTAATATTTTTTAAATTAATTTAATGAGTTAACATGATACTTGGTAGTAAAGGATAGTCAGACCCTGGAGAAACCCTCCAGAGGGGCTGTAGCTAATGGACTCCCTAAAGCACAGGCTAAATGAAGGTGAAGAGCCCCACCCCAGACATAACGAGTTAGAATCTTGGGGAGCAGTTGGGGCAAGATCTGAAATTTAAATAAGTTGCTCACAGGATTTCCAAGTTCACAGAAACTTGAGAGTGACCCCTTTAGAGCAGCATATAAATCAAATTTGGGTAAATTAAATTGTATGACAAAAGCAGTAAGGGGAATTGGATACTTAATGGGACCCTGCAGTGGATCCTTTTGTGAAAGGGAGAATCTTTTTAAAATGCAAATAACCCACCACCTGTGTTTTTTTAAGATTCATATATGTACTTACCAGGTTTTATTAGCTAGCTACATAGTTAAGAGTATCACCACTCAAGTAAAATGTTCACCTTCATCTTACAAAAACTTTAAGTAGCAAGGCCAGAATGCAGATCTGGAATCTTTTGGTATTGTACACAGTAAAGCAAAATGGACATGAATAATAAGGAACAGGACGTAGGGAGTGAAGAACTGTATATGGTTTTCTTTATTTTGCTTCTTTATTTTGTTTTCTGTGAGAGAATTTTACCTCCTTTTTAAGAGCATCATGTCAGCATCTTTTCTTATATCAACCTATCCTCAAAGCTTACAGAGTTAAGCACTGGAAACCAAGAATTCCAGGGTACTCTAGTCTCTAGTCTATTGTAGAATTCTGTTAGTCTCCTCTCCACCTAAAAACATTCTTATTTTCCACTTAAAGCCTCAGTCCTCTCAAGAGTGAATGGAAGAACCAACAACCAACAGACTCAAGCTATTCAAGCACTACTCTATGCAAAGACTGGGTAAACATTGGGGCTACAGGTAAGCACAGCACAGCATCCCTGACCTCCAGAAGTTTAACACATAGCAGAGATGGTATATGCACCAAGATGGTATATGTACTGTTTACCTGACGGTGGTTAGAGGTTATGATTCTCACTCTCCTTGTCTATACCTTGTGACTTTGAGAAAATATCTGAACATTTCTGGACTTTGATTTTCTTATCTGTAAATCTGGATAACATTGATCACTTCCTACATCGTTTTGAGAATTAACTACATGAATAGAAGTCTGTGCTACACATAAAAACTGTGTGAAGGTTGTTATATTCACATCATGCTATGAAACTATATGGATACACAGGGAAACATCTATATATTTGGTACCCAACACACATTAGGTATTCATGAACAAAAAATGAATAGGTAATTGCTAAAAATAAAATTATGAATCCAGGGAATAAGGCCAGTAGGAACTGGCAAAAGGGTGCTGGATACCCAAAAAATGTTTCAGAAGGGTGGGGAGATTTGAAACAGGCCTTAGAAAATGGTTTGAGGGCCAAGGGTATGGCTCATTCTTCTCTCAATCTTGCAAACATAAGGACCTGAGTTCACGCCCCAGAACCTATATAAAAATGTCAGGCATGCTGGTGCATGTTTGCAGTCCCAGAGCTGGGAACTCAGGAGACACTCGGAGGGTCCCTGGGGCTCACTGGCCAGTCAGTCCAGCCTGATCTATGAGCACTCTAGGGCAAAGACTCTATCTCAAAGGAAACAGGCAAGGCTATTCTCTGGCCTTCACATGCACACACACACACATGCACACACACATACAGACACACAAACACACCTGCACATACATGCATAGGCACATACAAAAGCCTGAGCATACATGCATTTTTAAAAAAGAAAATGGTTTAAGATTTAGACAGAGGGTTGGCATTATAGGTAGCACCATCAATCCCCAAGACCACCAAGTGTATTTGTAAAGGACTTCCCTGCTCTGCTTTCCAGAAACAAAGGCATAATAGCATGTTATACTAACATATACAATTAGTGCATATAAAAAAGTAAAAGATATTCTTAAGGATCTAAGCATGGAAGCATTAAGGTTTAAGGCTAAGGAAATGGGGGTTAGATATATGGATCAGCAGTTAAGAGCACTAGTTGGTCTTGCAGAGGAACGAGGTTTGGTTCCCAGCGCCCACTTGGCAGCTAACAACCATCTGTAACTCCAGTTCCAGGGAATCTGACACCCTCTTCTGACCTCTGCAGGCATTGTACAACACGGGTACACTTATATACATGCAGGCAATACATTCATACACATCATCATCATCATCATCATCATCATCATCATCATCATAAAAGAATAAGGAAAATGGACTTGATCTTACAGCTGATGGGAGACATGAGGGTTCATGGACAGGCAAATGACATGGAGAAAACAATGTTGAGGAAGATTGCTTTTGCAACAGGGTAGGTAGGATGGATTAGAGGAAACAAGACAAAGGCAGAAGATAAGTTCTAGGCAAAGGACCCAAATGATTATCATGGTAGTAGAAAAGTAAAGGGAAAGAGAAGATGATAGATAAGATACTTTGGGAAGAGGCAGATAAGAGACAGGCTGAGGATGGAAATAATGTCAGAAACAGTGAGGTGAAAAGCAGTGGGGAGATGGATGTAGAATCAGGAGATAATGAGTTCTGTTTTAGACAGATGAAGTTAAAGAGAAAGAATTAGAAGCAGAAATGTCCATCAGGAATTTAACACTGTAGTGCAATAGTCTGAGAGAGGGGATCAGGCTAAATATAAAGACTGACCATGTTCCTTTCATGACACAAGGATAGGTAAGTAAGTGAAGGAAGTCTGACAGAAAGGGGCTATAACTCTGTCTTCACCTGGTAAGGATAGGAGGAACCTGAGATAATTTTCAAGCATATTCAACATTAAATATTCTAATTATATTTTAAAAATAGAACTATTTGGTTTCCAACATAAATTATAGAAAATAATACTCAAAAGAATCTTATGAAAGCATATAATTAGCAAGAAAAGAAGTAGGATCCATGTTAGATGTTATATGTATGGTTAATGGGAACAAGTAAAGTTGGGCTTTCTGGTCAACCTCAGAAAGGGAGCATCAAAATGCATGCTAACAGCAGTGACCCTCCCAATCCTCACCCTGAGACCACATGCTAACCCCAGATCAAGCACCCTGGCTG